TAGAGCCAGGCTTCCCACCTAAATGATCTCTTCTGGAACCCATTCAGTGTCTCGTTTTTCTTGAGATGCTCTCTCAGCCCTTTGTCAATGATTTGTGAAAGTACAACTTCTCCACCATTCTGGGCCAGGCTTCCGTTACCTATTGGGTTAACACCACAGCTATACAGTATTCCAGAAACACTATAGTACAATTACTATTCAGCTCACTGCCAACTATGATTTCTATGTAACCCTCTTTAGTTTGTCAGATCATTCATTCATCAAAAAACTATTCAGCACTCATGTGCTCTGCTCTAAAGAGTCTTACAATCTGGTGTGGGCTGTAAACATGACAGGTCAGGCAGCTCTAACAGGATATTAGGGGGATGGAGGAGGAGGGAAGGCTCCCTGGAGGTAGTGCTTCCAGCTGAGTCTGGCAGGCCAGCAGAGGACTTTGGCCCAGCCACATTGCGTTTCGTGGAACAGCCAGAGGTCACCCTATCCAGCACAAGAGGAGGCAGCCACCCCGGAAGCAAGAGAGTAGGCTGACGGTAACAACGGCCGCCTACAACTCACAGCCTCAACAGCCAGCACTAATCGGTCTAAAGTACAACAAGCTCCATCTAAGCAGAGTAGAACACTTACACCCCCCAGCCTCCTCCCCTTGCAGTTTCTGGGCATAAAATTCAACCCCGAGAGCGCGGCTGGTGGAAGCCGGTGAGGCAGAGCCATGATGTTCCGCATCAAGGGCCTGGAACCGAAGCTGGACCCCGAGGAGATGAAATGGAAGATGGCAAAGATGTGACCTCCGTACGAACTTCCTCATCTAGGTAGCCCAGCTGCAAGTCACTCCTTTTATCTTAAAAAAAAAACTGGACATCACATGAAGTTTCTACTCTGTGAATGAACAGGCCCAGAAAGATGGAAGAGATTGGTGAATGGACATAAAATTTCTACTTGAGACGTTTGATTGTGGTAACTGACCAGAGAAGATTTGACTTTGGATGGTGGGTACATGGTATAATATACAGATCTTGTAACATAGAAACCCACTCCTAAAACCTGTATGTTCACGTTGACCAAAGTTGCCCCAAACAATTTAATAGAATAAATTGCTCCCCACCACAGTTTAATGGACAGCCTAGGATTTGAACCCATGTAACCTACTCCAGAGCCCATACCCTTAATTGCAACATTATCCTTCCCAAACAGATTTTCGTAAATATTTTGGAGCCTTTAATTTCATTGGCAAAACTATCAACCACTAACACTGCCACTTAGCTTACCTGTTAAGTCCAAGCAGGAACCGACAGGAGCCCGTGTTCAGGAAAACGCACATTTCTACAGCAACTTCCTCACGGCTCTCAGGGCCCAGGACAAATTACGACAAGATGGATGGTTGGAAGAACAGGAACTTGGCAGTCAAAACTCCAGACCCAAGGAGGCACCCCCACCCTATGTGACTTATCTACAGCCTCACCCGTGCAAACCTACCTGACCAACTAACTATCAGCACTACTTGCAGGAATCAGACTTTTGGGTCCCACTCACACAGGACTGTCCGTGTGAGCCAAACGCCCAAACGCAGAGCCTAGGACAGGAGCCCTCCAACTCAGCTTGCCCCGTTACCTGTCCTCTTTCCGATTTCCAACATCTGCAATGCCCCGACTCACGCTCTCTCCGAGGATGGCTTTGATCACATAGCCGAGCAGCATCAGGAGCCATGGACACCAAAGGACGGGGCTCTGACAGTTGAGAAGCACCAACTAGACGCAGGTACTTTCAACCACTCCTCGTATCTCAACAGAGTGACCTCTAGACCAACCCAGGCCACTCCAGGACAGCCCATCCTCTCTGCACTGGACACGCACACACAAGCTCCCCTGCACTCGCCACATCCACACGTTTTAAAATTACCATAAAAGTTAAAGGTACACGTATGTCACATGCCACCCCCTCCCACTCACCAGGTAAATGACACCTCAGTTCCTCTCGGTGTGACTGACTCAGTATCGCAGAGGCAGATGCAGGCCAGGCAGCCGGGTCCGTGCCTGTGAGCAGCGTCACCTGGGTTCAGGAACGAGGCTGCGCCAGGCCGAGCCCTGGTGGAGCCTGGAACCAGCAGGCACCTCTCAGGTCACTCAGGAAACCACAAAAGACCACCAAGCTGCTTGAGTTAAGTCTCCATGTATTTTATTTTTTTTTTTTACAAAAATCCCATGTCAGACCATTGTGCTCATGACTAGAAAGGGTGGTGGATGGACATGGCATGGAGAGCAGAGAACTCCCCTTCTAAGTGTCATCATCTCAAACCAGGAGCTCGAGAGCGCACAGGCAGGCAACTCCAGAAGAGGTTCCCCTCCAGCACAGTGGGCCCACGGCCCTGAGTGCAGGCCCCGGCTGGAAGCGCACTCACAGCAGAGCCTGGCCAGAGGTGCGCAGTGCAGAACGGCCGCCGAGCACCCTGGGGGGCCCTCATTTGGATTCCCCTCACTACCCGGAGAGCAAGGATGTCCTGGGCCCAGGGCGTTACCTTCAACGGCCAAGGAAACCCACGTGCATCTTCGGACCTGTTTCGTGTCCAGGTGAGTCACAGGTGGTGCAGGTGACATCGGGCTTCCCAAGGTGACGGTCAGCACCAAAGGCCTTCTAAGCATGGGACAGGGCCTCTCCCTAAGCCACGTGCAAAACCCAGCAGCCATGCTCCAGGAGCACCTGACCCGCACCCCGGAAGGTCCGCATGCCCGCTGCTTGCTGCTGAGTGTCTAAGAACACGGCTGTTTTCTTAGCGTCCACCAGAGCCTGCTGTGGGGTCCTTCATGTCAGTGTCCATCCAGGTCCCAATAGAGCATCCTTGTTTGAAGCTCTGGCATCACAACCTTGCCTACAGCACAGCTGACGTTCTCCATGATCTCAGCCCATTCTGCTATGCCTGGATCCAACAACAGCCTCAGGGACCCAACGATCTGGCTCCTCTGAAGGGGATCCTAACACAGACTGCTCGTTTCCCACCACGCCCCACTGAAGGGCAGTGTATTAGTTCCTCACATTAAAATAAACAAGATAAAAATAGCAGCCACATACATAGCTCAAAACACCACACTCTTTGGCTTCCCGAGGGAAGAAGGCTACTGCTAAAAAGAATACAGTCAGAAGTCAAGGAAAGAACGCTAGAAAGTTAGGGTGCAGGGAGTCTGGACCCTTTGCTGGGTTGCTGAGAAGCGTGACTCGATCTTCTAGGGCCATGAGAAGATGCCGCTGAAGACCCTGGAGGACTCCATCCGCCCTGGGAGCAGCCCGGGTCCTGCAGAGAGGCCACTTACGTCAAGCTAGCCCTACGGTTGGGTGGTATCTACAGGGCAGAACCTGGCTTCAAAATGGTACTTGAAGAGAACCCACTGGTACAGGCAGGTCACAGGAGAATGTGCCCCCAAGAAATAGAAGCACAGGTGTCAAGGTCTGGGGAAGACGGACTGGGTTAAGGCATGTGCATGACCAGGACAGACCTGAGCTTTTGTTCAGGTGCAGAAAACCAGCTACGCTCACCTTCACTGGAAGGAAGTGGGGTCCAGAAAAATGGCCAAAGGCATGGGCTGAATCCCTACCAAGTGCCACGAACACCCTCTTTGCTTATCCTACTGCCGTCACCACAAAAGAAAAATGAGTTTATTTCTATCTCAGCCCAGGGAAAAGAAGTGTAAACCCAAGGAAAGTGATAGTGTGGGTGAAAATGCCTATGATATTTCAGTCAGAAGTCAAGAAAAGGGTGTTAGATCCTCCCATTGTTCTGGCACATACCAAACCTCGGCGTGTTCTGGAACAACCAGGCATTAGGGATCCAAAAACTACAGGTAACATACGGTGTAGGGGGAGGTGAATTTCACCCAGGTATTTATCCCAAGGCAGCTGCCTTGTTTAAGACTCACCGGCCAGCCGGGTGGGGGGACCACAAAGGACGCTTGCTTATTCCAAGTCACAGAGAGAAGGCCCACCTGCAAACCACTTCAGACCACACCTGGGAGGGTAGCCGCCAGCTCTGTTCTCTTACCTAGGAGACAGCCCTCAGGAAAGCCTGAAGCCAAAACACATCTTTATGAAAGGAGGGCTGGACAAAGAGCCACTTGGAAGAGCTGCTATGGGTCTCCTTCCTTCCTCGTTCCTCTGGTTCCAACTTAGAAGAGAAAGACAGAGCAGGGACAGTCCTGGGACAGCATGACCTCATCATGACTCTACAAACACCAATGATCCAGCACAAGGAAGCTCAACTGTCCCCCAATGCAGGTCCTCCCTCCCCGAGGACTCAAGGGAGAGGAGAAAGAGTCACAGAGCGCTGTTGGCAGTGCGCAAAGGGAGAAGGAACAAACCGTTAGGTCTTATCTCATCCAGGGTCCCATTAGAGGGCCAGGCCGGCCCTTTTTCTGTTTCTGCACCTCCTCTGGGGAGGATGGAGATGATTATTAAGAATGAGCCAGATCCATAAGGCCAGGATCCATCTCCACCAAGAGAGAACATTAGGAGCCTTGGTGGGTCCCTCACTTTGTGAGATAGGCAGAAATTTCAAATTCCCCCCAAATATATATATATATATGTATATGTATATGCACGTGAGTGTGTATGTGTGTGCATATATACACACACATACACATATATATAAATAAGCCTCAAGTGGCAAATCTGAAACATTTTCTTTTTAAATAAGAATAATAGTTGGTAAGTAACTGGATTTAAAAACCACAAACCAGCTGTCCTGGGCTTATGACCTGTGTGAGTGACTCTCCAGAGCCCCCATGTCCTCAGTGTACGCTCAGTCAGTGCCCTGTGCCGGAAGCCCGTGTCCTCTGTCTGGGTTCCGGCCCCAGCGTGGCAGCTTCGAGAGAAAGGCAGCTATTCCCTTTCACTCTTCTGCCGCCCTCCAGGCAGAGGGTCTGGGCCACCCACCCAGTGGATGTGCGTGGGGTCTTTCCATGTCTAGGAGCCACCTCCCTCCCTCTGCTCGTCCTCTCCCCAAACCTGCAATGCCCCTAGATGAACTTGAAGCACTTGGTCTTGTCGTGGGGCAGGCGCGTCTTGAAGAGCACAGAGTCCACCCTGAACTGCGTGTACAGCAGGGGCATATAGCCGTACACTTTGACGAAGAAGTTGATACATTTGTGCCGCTCGTGAAAGTGGGAATCATCGTGGGACAGGGCCTGGGGGCATCCTGGGCATCGGAAAGTCCACCGTGAGGTCACCTGGAGCAGGGAAGAAGGAGCTCAGTGAGGATCGCAGGTGCTCACCCCGAGAAGCCCCACAGTTTAACCAACCCAATGCGTCCAAGGGGAAGACACGGCCTCAGACAGCCACATGTGCTCAGAGTGAGTCAGGGCCAGTGCCCAGGCTGCCTGCCTGCCATAGACGTGGCTACATCCAGCAGTAAAGGGGCTCTTTCCAAACGGCCTATACTTGACAGGTTTCAGAAGCTTTAACATGTTCACTGTTACCTGTCTTAGTAACTGTTTTTCTGATATTCTCGGCTGCATAGCAAAATGTAGATATAAAGTTGTTTCTCGATATCTTTAATAACAAAATACTGGAAAATGACCCATCAAAAGGGGACTAGTTAAATAATTATAAGATACTACATATCCATAAAAAGTTTTTGAAAAAATTACAAAAGACATGGGACCCTGGTCAGTTTTCCCAGTGGTCAGAGCATCAGCCCACAACTGAAAGGGTTCAATTCCTGGTCAAAGGCACGTACCTTGATTACAGGTTCAATCTCCAGCACCATTTGGGGCGCAAGCAGGAGGCAACGAATCAACGTGTCTCTCACACATCAATGTTTCTCTCTTGCTCTCTCCCTCCCCCTTCCCTTACACTCTCTCTAAAAATTAATGGGATGTCCTATCTGGTTTGGCTCACTGGATGGCCTAGGGACTAAAAGATCACAGGTTCGATTCCAGTCAAGGGCATGTACCTTGGTTGCGGGCACATCCCCAGTAGGGGGTATGCAGGAGGCAGCTGATCAATGCCTCTCTCTCATTGATGTTTCTAACTCTCTATCCCTCTCCCTTCCTCTCTTTAAAAAAATCGATAAAATATATTTTTAAAAAATAAAATGAAAATAAAAATAGGAAAAATATCCTCACTCCTTGGGTGAGGATTAAAAAGGGGGGAAGGGGGGACAGACGGGACAGAGAGACATGGGAAAGTAGTTATATTACAGTTTAGTAATTATTAGGAAAAACAATTAGAAAAGTATGGAGAATAATGTAACAGCTTCACTATCAACAACGTGCCCAACCATATAATATAAAACCCCTCAGCACAGAATACCTGGGAGGAAAACCAGGGTAAGATATATGTAAACCATATCTTTAAATATATGTCTGGGCTTGTAATGAAAAATAAAATCCTTAGAGGCCAAAAGAATGAAAAAGCCTGAATGTAGTGAGGCAGCCAGGAGCGTGGGGTCTTCATCAGACTTGGGAGGCAAAAGCCATGAGTCAGACAGGAGACTGGAACTCTGGGACCCTATGGTCACAGAGGCAGCCCCACAGAGAGCGATACTGAGGGAATGTTTTCTTCTCAGTCTTAGCTCTAAGCAGGTACGGAAACAGCACTTCTGACCACTTATAAGCACAAGCAGGCCCTCACACATCTGAGGCTAGAATTTATGTTGCCGTGTGTCCTAAAAAGTCCCAAGATACTCCCTTAGCTTACACAGTACACCTGAAGGATGTAGGAGAAGGAAATGCAAATCCTCTCAGGTACAAACTCAGACCTCAAAGAGACACAGGCAAAACCTCAAAGAATATCAGCTCACAATCAGAAGCCACAAAACGCGCCCTAGCTGGTGTAGCCCAGCGACAAGAGCGCCAGCCCTTAACCTGGAATCGGGTTTGATTCCTTAACCAGGTTAAGGGCTGGAATCGGGTTTGATTCCAGGTTAAGGGCATGTACCTGGGTTGTGGTTCACTCCCAGTCGGGGGAAATGCAAGAAGCAACCAGTTGATGTGTCTCTCACATTGATGTCTGTCTGTCTGTCTGTCTGTCTGTCTCTCTCTCTCTCTCTCTCTTTCCTCCCCACACCCTCCCCCACCCCCTCTGTCTCTGAAAAGCAATGGAAAACATATCCTCATGTGAGAATTAACAACAACAAAATCACAAAGCCCTAACCAGTTTGACTCAGTGGATGGAACATCAGCCTGTGGACTGAAGGGTCTCAGGTTCGATTCCTGGTCAAGGGCATGTATTATATCTCGGTTGCAAGCTCAATCCCTGGCCCTGTCTGGGCGCGTGCAAGAGGCAACCAATTGATGTCTCTCTCTCACACACTGATATTTCTCTGTCTCTCCCCTACCCTTCCACGCTCTCTAAAAATCAATGAAAAAATATTCTTGGGTGAGGATTAACAAGAAAAAAAGTTACAAGAATGGAAATGAGCCACATAAGGAAGGAAGAAACAGAATCAGACCCCAAAACACTGCAAAATAGTAGGACTATCAGAGAGTGACATAACAATAAATGTATATAATATGATGCTGCAATTTCAAAAGATTTCTCCAAGTATAATGGAAGAAACAGGGACTATTAAAAAAGTCCAAGCATATATGAAAAGACACCAAATAGAACAACAGAAATGAAAAGTATTTTTATTTAAATCAAACTCAATTGATGGGCATGAAGAAAATGTTAGTGATGAAAAGTATACTAAAATTATTATATAGAATATATGAAAAATACTGACAAAAAGCTTTAAAAATATGCAAGCAATATTAAGAGACAGAGAAGTGACACTATGATTCCATTTATATAAAATTTAAAATGGGCAAAGTGATCTTGGAACAGAAAAAAGACACTTCCTCCGCTTCTCCGAGCTGAACTCCTTCCTGCTCTGAGCTTCACTCTGCCCTGGGACCCAGTGGAGGTGTGGGGAAGACCGCCCACTCACCCCCCTCAGAGAGCCAGCCCTCTGCCTCTGGCAGTCCCGCTCTGTGTATGCTTGAGGCTGGGAAGTTTGGGTTCAGAAGTGGAAGCTCAGGGCCACCAGAGGGCAGACCCAGAAAGATGGTAGGACTGTACCAATAGGGCGAGGACAGCAGAACAGAACTTGCCACTGTGCCCACAGCAGAACACAGGTATCTCCCCCTCCCACCCTCTGTGCTGGGCACTAAGGGGGCTTGGAATCTTTCACCTGCTGGGCCCAGTTCTGGTCAGCTCACTGGTGGAACTCGTTTTGTAACTTAACCCTGTTGACGGATGACCTTAGCATTGGGTTAAAACAGCTCCTGGGTTGCTCCTCTAACTTCTCTGTTAGTGGGAATGTGGATAAAGACTGTAGGGAATTGATCAGCCTGGGGTGCATATGTCTGCTGCAGGCTCTCCTGGTCCAGTAGTCCCTGCCAGCCCAGAGCCTCTGCGGGCTTCACTGGGGGAACAGATGTAACTTGTCTGGTCTCATTCCCAAGTGTGGCCTGTGCCCTGGTGTGGGCTAGTTGTATAGAGTAAGCTCCTTGTGTTCTAGTCAGGCTTTCTACCCCAGAGAGCCATGGAATGTGGTCCAAGAATGTAGGAACTGAGAGTTTAGGGCACACAATTGCTCACATGTGCTCTTGGTTATACTTTACATTATTCTACTACCCTGTTTCCCCGAAAATAAGACAGTGTCTTATATTATTTTTTTCTCCCAAAGTTGCACTAGGTCTTATTTTCAGGGGATGTCTTATCTTTCCATGCGCTAAGTCTTATTTTCGAAGGATGTCTTATTTTCGGGGAAACACGGTACATTATCATTCTAGCAAAAACTAAGGAAATCCAAATGAAGGGAAACCTTGAGTAATATGGTGTATCAATACTGATTCATTTATTGGGACCAGAGGACCACACTGATATAAGATGCTAATAACAAGGTAACTGCATGGAGTAGGTGGGAATTCTGTACTAGCTTCACAATTGTCTGTAAATCTAAACCTACTTTAACATAAAAAGGTTTATTTTACAAGTAAGCCACAGTGATTAGGGATGGATGCTTAGGTGATAAAAGCATAAAGGAAAACAATGATGTGAACACCACTGAAGGCATGATAGTGACTGTATTAGTGTCCCAGGGCTGCTAAAACAAATTACCACAAACCTAGAGACTTAGAAAACAAATGTTTATCATAGTCACGGATGCTACAAGTCTGAAGTCAAGGTGTCCATCCTCTCAGAAGGCCTGGAGACTAGCTTGTTCCCTGCTCCCTCTCAGTTCTGGTGTTGCCAGCAATCCTTGGCTTGCAATATAATTTCCTATGCAGCAGCAGTATTGTTATTGCCCAATGTCATTATAACGTGCATTAGGTCTCCATGGCTTATTTACTACTCATTCTAAATTTGTACCCTTACACATCATTAATTCTACATCATCACCACCACCCCAAATCCTTATTCTGCATAAAGCCTACTTATAGTCTAGATCTTTTTCCTCCTGGAAAATATAACATTACAATTTTCAAAGCAGCAATTGCTCTAAGAACATTATCTCCCTGCTCTTTAGTCAGTATTGTTAAGATATTAACATTATTAAAAAAAAAAAAAACACTGTTAATCTTAAAACCAACCAACCTTTCTAACTGTTTAAAGATCACTTTGCCCATTTTAAATTTTATATAACTGGAATCATAGTGTCACTTCTCCATGTTTTTTGTTTAAAAATTCTCAACCGAGGACATTTTTTTTTTTTAGAGAGAGTGTGGGAGAGAGAAAGAAAGAGAAACATTGATATGAAAGAGACACATCAATTGGTTGCCTCCTGCAAACACCCCAACCAGGCCCGAGGTACCTGCAACCAAGGTATGTGTCCTTGACTAGAATCGAACCCGGGACCTTCCTTTTATAGGTCAACACTCTATCCACTGAGCCAAACTGGCTAGAGCCAACCTTTCTAATTTTAATAAGGGAGAAAATAGTTCAACAATGTAATTTTGAAGTATTTAATGCAAAAAGAACTTACTATTTTAGAATACAAAATAGTACATATACCTGATGCGATTAAAAGTAGGCAAGTTAATAAAAATAGTTCTAATGGTTCTATACTATAAAGGGCATAACTGAACTCAGAATTTGAAGAAATTAACTCAAAATTTGAAGGCATTCTTAATTTATTGGGCCTTTGATTTTAAAAAGTTCACCCTGATCTTGAATTCCTCTTATATTCCCATAAGACTGAGAAAATTCAGAAAATACTTATTAAGTTTTCACTTGTTAGAGCATGTGTACCATGCACAAATTATTTCCATCTCAATCTCTACATTGAAGAGACTAGGCCAGTGTTTAATTAGTCTAACAATATAGACAAACACATTTTGATGAAGGTGAAAATTTCATCATGTCTGTAAGAGTTTTAGGTGACATCTAATCACTCAGAGCCTGACTTTCATGGTTGTCTCTGACTTCTGAGAGAGGTGTAAATGGAAGCACACTTCTGGCTGCAGTCCAGTCCCTGGATATATAAGAAAGGATAAAGAAAAAATAGAAAATTTCACCAGTCATTAATTTCTTTCTAGGCCTTGTCTCCCAAACCTTAAAGTTTGCAAAGAAGTATGCTTTTCGTTGTTTTAAATCAGGTCTACCACTGTACCTGGCAAACATACTACTTTTATGGAAATAACTGATTATTATCACTCACAATTTTTTAAAAGCCCACATAATTGAGTGCCTTATTTTCCTAATTATCTTTTGTGAGGCTTTAGCAGAAGACACTAGGATAGAGAAAACTATGGGGTAATCAGGAGTTGAAGTTATAACCCTGAGTCATACTTGGAAAAAGGCTTGCTAGGTATAAATGGATGCAGGAGGCCCCAAATGCTTTTCTAGCTCTTTCGTGTTGTTGTTTTAAATAAACTTTTTTTTATTGTTGACAGTATTAAAATGTCCCCTCTTTCCACACCTCTTTGTCCACCTTCACCCAGCCCCCACCTATTACCCTTTGTTGCATGGATCCAATATCCTTTGATTATCACAATGCTTCCCACCAAAGATATGATTTATCGTTTTTAGTACAGACTGCTGGTTACTTATATAAAACTTACCTTCAATGTGTAAAAATAAAATATTACACACTCATGGCACTAATGATATTCATAAAGATAATGTATTATTTTTAATATTAAATAATATGCCTTTTAAACACAATAAAATAAGGCCTTAAGCAATGTTTCTAAGGACATCACGTGATTCTATGGCATGAATACTGACAGAGCACAGTCATAAATACTGCTCATTTGAATTGACACACAGACTCTCTAGTATTAATCACTGCGAAGGCCCTTACCAGGCCTCCCCGAGCCCTCACCAAGAGAGAGCTCACTCATCTGAACCTGCAGTGATGACAAAAAGGGTGATGGAAATGGTCTTTCTATGCACTGAGCATGAAATTGGGATACTCTGGCCAAATCTATTCAACAACGCAAAGATAAAAACAAAACTCAAATTTCTAGAATTCTGATGGCACTTTTGTTCTTGTTTTAAAGTAAATAACTTACATAGCACTAACTTATGTGCCAGGCATTATTCTTAGAGCTTTACATACCGGTAATTTAACTCGAACATTCTTAAGTTTTTGTACCACAGGAGTCCCCTCCACTCTGGCTTGGCAATCTGGTAAAACCTGTGGACTCTACCTCAGAATGTTTTTAAATGCCTAAAATTAACTACATGTGATTACAAAGGCAACAGTTATACTGAAATACAGTAATATATGTGTTCTTTTATAAATGCATTTGGTAGCAAGATCTAAATACATTTAGTAGATAATAACTACCAAACTTTCAAGGAGTGATGAACAAAAATGGCACTTTGAGATGCAACAGCAAATGTGATATGAAAATGTCTGAATACTACTGCTGACAAATCACAATTATTGCTTTTATAAATTGTAGCCTGTTTCATAACTGATAAAAATTTCAATTAGAGATTAGTAAAACTTAAAGATGTAACGTTTTTCTCAACCAGGTTACAAATCCTCGAGTTCAATCCACTTTACCCTTAGGAGTGAAGAGCCAATGAATTGACAACTAATTTAACCTTCAAACAATCCTCTTTTGGTTGATGGTATCATTATCCCCATTTTACAGATGAGGACTGTGAGGTAGGGTTACATACCGCACTACTGCCAACTACCAGTAAGCGAATTCAGTATTCATGCACCCCAAACCGATCAGGAGTGGAACCTTCACCTTGATGGGGGGTTTCCGAGTGATGTGGGAGACAAGGAAGTTCATGGCAATGTCCTCACAGTTGATGTATTCATCCACCATATCTCGGATGGCCTGGGGCATCACGTAAGAATACAGGTAGGCATAATACTGTCGGCGAGAGAAAAAGAATCACCCTCTGTTAGAGGCCATACTTCTTTGGCTTTTCCCAAAAATATGAGCAGATGCCCTGGGCAGTGTGACTAAGTCGTTGGAGTGTCAGCCTCCGCACCAAAGGGTCAAGAGTTTGATTTCCTGATTAAGGGCACATACCTGGATTGCAGGTTCAATCCTACACCCAGTCGGGGCACATGCAGGAGGAAACCAAGCAATGTGTTTCTCTCATATCAATATCTCTCTCTCTCTCTCTCTCTCTCTCTCTCTCTCTCTCTCTCTCTTTCTCCCCCTTCCCTCCTCTCACCCACTCTCTGGAAAAAAAAAATAATAATAATATATATATATATATATATATATATATATATATATATATATATATATATATATATATCCTCCAGTGAGGATTAACAACAAAAGTGTGGATCTATGGGCTGTTAGAAAGTGGGAGAAATGAGGTAGCAATCACTGGCATTTAGGGAGTTGGGGCTTAGCATCCTGCAAGGCAGATCTTCTGTAATGAATAATTACCCCTTCCAAATTGCCATTATCACCCCTTAGAGAATCCAAATTTCATTTAATTTCCTTGGTACCTCAGTGATTTTACAACAATCTAAAAATTTGTCAAATCAGGTCAGACACTGGTGCAGTTGAACAACATTCTCTCTGACAACAAAAGCCTGGTTATCTTCTCAGATTTCTCAGTAATCATTGAGCCATGAAATATCCAATCCCTCAGTGCCTCACGTACAGAGTCTAGAATCTGATCACTTCTCACCATTGCCACTAGCCTCCCTGCTCCAAGCCACCATCATTTCTTGCCTGGATTACTCATATTGTCTAAACAGTTTCCCTGGTTGGCCTACTTGTCATGGCTCAGTGGTTGAGCCTTGAACAGGAGGTCAAGGTTCGATTCCCAGTCAGGCCATATGCCCAGGTTGCAGGCCCAATCAATGATTCACCATTGATGTTTCTATCTCTCTCTCCCTCTCTGTTCCTTTCTAAAATCAATAAAAATATATTTTAAAAAAATAAAAACAAAAAGGTCTTTTTGATGCCATGTTTTCTTCCCTTCAGTCCATTCTCAGCACAGCAGAGTGATCTTGTTAAAACATAAGTCCAACTAGTTGGTCCGAAGGTTGTGGGTTATTGTTAAGCTAAAACATAAGTCCAACTGAACATGTCACTCTAAACCAACAATTTTAACTGGTGTGCCACAAGAATTTTAAAACATGCAATATCTGACTATTTAGTCGGGGACACTTACCTCTTTTTCCTTAGACTGTCAAATAAAAAATTGACAACAACCAACACAACAACAGCCATCAGTGTAAATGAATCAAAATTATACCCATTTTTTGTCAGATCAACAAAAAGGTTGAAAATTGCTGCTCTATACCCCTCAATGGCTTCCCATCTTACTCAGACCAAAAGTCTAAGTTCCAAAATGTTTTGCAAGACTCATAGAATGGTGTGCTGAAGCAGGCTCACACCTGCTCATGAATGCTGACTGCTAAGTTTTCAGAAATGTTGTGAGACTATTTAGAAATACTGTGAACTTGTTATGAAAAATAGCTATTATTAAAAATATAATTGTGTAAACTTAAATATCTTACAATAAAAAATAAAAACCTAAAGTTCATCACTTCTTAATTAATTATATTTTCTTATCATTAACTAAATTTCACTGTTATCTTGAGGTTATCTATGTCTATCATATTTATATGGTGAAAATACTATACAATGATGTGCAAATGCATATTTCTTCCCAACTCTATGTTTAGGGACTATGTCGGTAACCTGAAATCAACCATGGTAAGAATATTTATACCACAGAAATGGGCAAATGCTATAAAACAGGGTACATGTTAACTGTGATGCAATATGGTGGTGATGAATAAATAGGTAAGGTGCTCAATAAAACTGATTTGTGTACTTTATTACCTTAAATATGGAATCTATGTAGTGAAAAATTGATCATACAATTTTTGTAGCATACAGTGATTTGCTGGTTTGGTGGCAAAGTACTTAAGGGATGGTGAACTTGAAAGATAAGCTCTAGCTGATTTGGCTCGGTGGATAGTGTGTCGGCCTGAGGACTGAAGGGTACTGGGTTCAATTCTGGTCAAGGGCACATGCTGGGTTGTGAGCTAGAGCCCCAGAAGGGGGCTTGCAGGAGGCAGACCATCAATGGTTCTCTCTCATCATTGATGTTTCTATCTCTCCTTCTCTCTCTGAAATCAATAAAAATGTATTATTTTAAAAAATGAATTACACATTTTTCTTTTAGAAAAAGGAAGGTGATTAAGATATGTTGACCCTTTAAATGGCCAGTGGCTACCATTAGTATGCTGATAAGAAAAAATATACTAAACACAACCCATATCATCAAGAGAAAGGTAAAATTATAACAAGAACTGGCTTTAAAAAATAGAGAAACCATTATGAAAACATTTGCTTAGCAGTATTTTCACAATTATCTAATTTTAATGCCAAAAATAATTTATGAAAATCTACAAAAACCTACATATGTATACATTTTAAAAACACATACACACACACACACACAAAAAAAAAACTTCTGTAACCTGTTTAAAAATCTGAACAAAAAGTTGAAATGAAGTGGGAACCAACTCTTAAATATAATAATGTAACACCTCTCATTGGTTTGCTAAAAAAAATTGAATGGCATCATGGAAGATGGAAATTATAGTCAATTTCAGCAACAAGCTACCAAATTGGATGATGAGTATCATGACTTTGTAAGCCCAGAAATAAGGTATTTCTTCCAGGGACAGTGATTAAAACCAAGTATCAAAAATAAACTTAATTTAAAAACAGATCTCTGACTTGCCATAATATAGTGTCAAATCAAGATTTTCAAAAATAGTAAGGCATATTCAATCACATTGCTTTCATGAAAATTTAAAAATTAAGTGAGAATACTTGGAAACTATTTCATCTTTATCTCAACTTTACAAAAAGTTCTGTAAGCAGGATAGTACACATATATAAATGTAATTCATAAATAAATATACATATTTTTGAGGTACTGGTTCAAAATTTCTATTTGATAAAAAAAATTGATTGCTTCAATAGAGGGTATTATGCTAAGTGAAAAAAATCAGACAAAGAAAGACAAACACCATGAGTTCACTTATATGTGGAAACAAAATTAACAGACAAGCAGAGCACAAACTGACTCATGGATACAGAGAAGAAACTGGTGGCTGTCAGATGGGAGGGGTGCTGAGGGCTGGGTGAAAAACGTGAAGGGATTAAGAAGTACTAATTGGCTGAAACCGGTTTGGCTCAGTGCATAGAGCGTCGGCCTACGGACTGAAAGGTCCCAGGTTCAATTCCGGTCAAGGGCATGTACCTGGGTTGGGTTGCGGGCACATCCCCATTAGGGGGTGTGCAAAAGATAGCTGATCGATGATTCTCTCTCATCGATGTTTCTAACTCTCTGTCCCTCTCTCTTCTTCTCTGTGAAAAATCAATAAAATATATATTTTTTTAAAAAGAAGTACTAATTGGCAGTTACAAATAGTCATGGGGATATAAAGCAGAGCATAGGAATACCATCAATAATATACTTACTATGTAGGTGTCAGGTGAGTACTAGACTTTCGGGAGTGATCACTTAATAAATTATGTAAATCTCTAGCCACTATGTTGTACACCAGAAATTAATATAATATTGAATGCCAACTGTAATTTAAAAAAAGATTATTCCAGATTAGGGAATGACCACTTAATTGCTTTCCAGGATCAAACAACTAAGGCAAATACATAACATTTTAAAGAAACAGGTGCAAGAAAAATAGAGTCATGGGGCAAATAAGCACATAATCCCCAGGTACAGTGACTACGCAGCCAGTTGGTATCAGGCAGAAATACTGTGTGATCTGATTTCATTTTCATTAAGGTTCCAATCTTTTTGTAAAGTATCATTTCTATAAGTCACAGAAGTTTGGGGGCTGCTAGTTTGTAAACTCTGCTCTAGATTTTCAAATGGGGTGAAAAAAAAAAAAAAGAAAAAAAAAAAACCTAAGTTTTATTAAGTAAATTATTTATTGCTTGAAAGTAAAGAGATCTGATACTGTAACTTTTATAGAGCCATCAGAGAATTGAGAAGGCAGACTTTTCAGAAGACAAATTCTCAAGATATTTATGAGCAGACACTGCAAAACCCAGTGGCTCTTTCTCAGACGACCAGTGTGAAAATAAAGACTCCTAGGTTGTTTTTCAGCCAGATGCTCTCTAATCCTACTTGCAATCCCCAGCCCAACCAAAGCCCATGCAAGTTTAGAAAATAAGCACAAGGGCAAGGCTCAAGAATGGGATGAGCGTAACAGTTATACTTTAAAAAGAAAAATGAGCTGCAAGTATAATGACTTCCTAGGCTGGTTCAAATGTCCCAAGTGAGATAACTTTTGAAGTCCTATTTGAAATAATTTGCAAGATGCCACTATCTAAGATATGAAATAAACGAGGAGCAAAAGAGTTGAGGGAATTGAAGCGGGTGGGAGATCATGGGCTCTTTGGAGGAAAATTCAGTTTGAAAGACCACAGGGACATACAAGGGATGACCTGGAAACAATTAAATATACAAGTACAGATCTCAAGAAAGGGCCAAGGCTGGAATCTAGTTACAGAAATCAACAGCTTATAGGTGCTAAGGAAAGCCACAAGACCTTGTGAGTGTGAGAGAATGTCTAAGGGAAACACAAAGTAAGAAGAGCACTAGATGAAGCTAGAACCCTGAGATACTTCAACATTTATGGGGAAGACAGTATGGTGTGTGAGTCTTCATAAGGGCAATAAAGTCACCCAGAATGACAGACAGCTGGAACGGAGATTAGGATGATGGGCCAGGTACCAACACACTGATAACTATGAAGGGAATGATTATGAGGCTGGTGGACAGCAGCAACAACACAGATGCCATGAGCCTCCAATGAGATTTTATATGTCAGGTGAGACTTGTCTAGATATGTCATTGATAAGCAGTGAAAAGTTCTCTACACCTTTCCTGATCCAAAGTATAAATCTGGGGAGATGAGTAGCTTCAATCCCTGTTTGCGGAAGAAATACTTTTCTCCTTAAAGGAAAGTCAGGTTTCCATCAGGTCAAGGAGACAGAGGTGGTGTTCTGTGGGTTGTAGGTGAGTTGGTAATCTGAGAACAGGGATTCTCCGAAGTCCAGAGGAAGGAACTGAGAGGGAAAGTACAGAGCAGCACCAATGGAAATATAATGGGTCACACATGTAATTTTAAATTTCCAGGAGCCACATTTTTTAAAGTAAAAAGAAACAGTAAAATTAATTAGTAATATATTTTACTTAATCCAAAATAACTGCATTTTAGCATGCAATCAATATAAAAAATTATTGAGATTGTTTGCCTTCTTTCATGCTAAGTTTTCAAAATCTGGTGTGCATTTTACACACATCACATCTCAATACAGATCAGTCACATTTCAAGTGCTCAACAGTCACAAGTGTCTGGTGGCTACTTTATAGACTAGATGAGAAAATGAGAGAAGATGAGTCCGGAGCAAACAAACAAACAAAAAGAACAGTTTAGCAATAACAATAGAGGTGAAGGGTAATAACTGGAGGGGTTTGCATGTTAGATAATCAGTGAAAATTGGGATGTGAGTCATGAAGGTTACAAGCTCTAAGGAATCAAACAGAATACAGAGCCATAATAGACAGAGGCCTGAGGTGGGGTTTGGGGGAGTGGTGGCAAGCCTGAGTCAGAAGAGGGCCAGGCTCAGCCTTCTGTGCCAGGCCACATCTGGAATAGCCATGTTGAGACTAGATGTTAGTTTGGCACAATGTTCTCATTTTTACAGATGATGAAATAAGATCCAGAAAGATGAACTTAATTTTCCTGCTGGCCTACATGCAATTGTATAGGCAGTCTTCTCATCCTAACTTTTTATTCCAGAGTTATGCTAAGCATCTTGATCACTGTCTTTAAAAACAGAAATAACTTAATTCTAGCAAAGAAGGGACATATGAGATTTACTAGAAGAGATAAATTTAGGGCAGCATTACACTGCAACACAAAGGCTGAATTCTTACTAAGTTCATGCCATTCTTACCAAACCTTGTCTTACCTTGTGAAAGAAGGCAGCACCTGTCAGCACCATGGACAGCTCACAGGAGTAGTTGGAGTTGTAGAGCCAGGACTGATGAGGGATGTCCCACGCATGGTATCGGCCAGGGAAACCCACAATGCGGTCCCGTGCTTCTCTCCATACCCTCGAAAAACACAAGTATATATACACACCTAAGTACAAAGCTCTAAGATTATCAGAAACATTTAAGATTACTGCCCATATCTTGCAGGTTTTGATTCTTGGCTGTTACTTTTTCCTTTTGTTGTTGTTGTTGTTGTTAATAACAAAATTAATCACAAGCCAAGTAGGATAAAAACAAATAATAAATGACACATGTAGCTTCCTTAATTAGCACTGGCTTATTATTATTATTATTGCTTTTCTAATTCCTGGCAGCCTGCATCTCTCCCGCCCTTACAGAAAGAAAAAGCTGGAATAACTGGGATGCATAGATTCTGCTAAGAAGCAGAAAGAAGATACAAATTTCTACTCCTATTTACTTTTTATCTAAAAAGTTTTATTTAGCCGAAGCCGGTTTGGCTCAGTGGTAGAGCGTTGGTCTGTGGACTGAAAGGTCCCAGGTTCAATTCCGATCAAGGGCATGTACATTAGTTGCGGGCACATCCACGGTAGGGGTGTGCAAGAGGCAGCTGGTCGATGTTTCTCTCTCATTGAACTTTCTAGCTATCTCTCTCCCTTTCTCTCTATAAAAAAAACAATAAAATATATTTTTAAATAAATAAATAAATAAATAAATAAATAAATAAAAAGTTTTATTTATAATGAGCATGCTATATTAGTACACTAGACATGCATGTATATACTGATGTATATTGCATGCTTAATTTTTCTTTTCCTGAGTGAGTTTACTATAAAAGCTTAGAGACAACTGGTCTAAATAGGAGACTGCTGCATGGAGTAATGTCCAACAGTCTTTCTTTTTTGCCTTTTTATTGAATTTACTGGGGTGACACTGGCTAACAAAACTGTACAGGTTAACCCTAGTCATTGTGGCTCAGTGCATAGAGCGTTGGCCTGCGGACTGAGGGGTCCCAGTTTCAATCCCGGTCAAGGGCCTGTACCTCGATTGCAGGCTTGGGCATTGGTCAGGGCATGTACAGGAGGCAACCAATCAATGTGTTTCTCTCACATCAATGTTTCTCTGTCTTTCCCTCACTTTTCTACCCTCTCTAAAATCAATAGAAAAATATGCTCAGGTGAGAATTAAAAAAAAAAAAAAAAACTGTATGGCTTTCAGGTGCACAACTCTACAACACATCATCCGTACATTGTACTGTGTGTTCACCACCCCAAGTCAAGTCTCTGTAAGATCCAACAGTCTTAATTCTTGATTTAAGCAGAATTGAGGGAGAGACCTACACCATAAAAAGTGGTCTACAGGGCTATGTAAATAAATGCAATAAATAAATTGAAAATTCAATGTTTCCAGGATAAACTTTTATATCATCCCCAAATTTACAGGTAAGACAACAAACAGAATCAGTACCCCAGTTTTCCAGACTAAAATCCTAGAGCTGAAAGCTCTTCTGCTCCATAGAATCCATCAGTCCTGCTTCAGGGTCCTGTAAACAATGAACCATCACTTCCCACTTCACCTCAGCCCCAAGGAGAGATTTAAACTGCCTGAGAAACTCCCTCATCACTTACATAGAGATTCAATTCCTAAAACTTTCGATTTCACTTCAAAACAATTCCTCTCCTATTAAATTCAAAAACAATGAATCTGGTCCAACAGATAAGAAATCACACTTGTATCACCTGGGCTTTCTGCAGTCTCCTACCCAAGTCCCAACCTCTATCCTAATTTATCACCTAAAACTGTCTCCAAATTATCGATACTAACTTAAAAAGCTGTAAGAAATTTCTGTAATATAATTTGATATATCCAGGTTTTAAAGATGGCAAGTAAGTACACTGGTATAACCAACTATTATATTAATACCCTTAAAGATTCTAATCTCATCATATGCCTATTGCTCTTACTATTCCTAAAATATCATCAGAAGGATGGGAAACTGAGTATTTCAGTTATCTGATGTGGCTGATTTAAGTCTATAATGTAGACAGTTCTTAATAAAGCAAAACCTCACTTGCTACACAATATTAAAAGGTAACATACCTAATTAGTTAAAGTCTGTCAACCATAAGATGGCTGATCAAGAGTTAGTTTTCTATTAAATAATAAAGAAAAAAATCAATGTGGAAGCACTGACACAAGATAAACTTAAAGACTTAAATAAATTCCTGGGATGACGCATCAAAAGTTTTAGATAACATGGTCACAATACATATTTGAAAGTCAGATATTCAAAAATACTTTTTATATATAATGCTACCAATTTACATTTGAAAGTGTTATACATAATAAGTTCCGTAATATTATATTCTAACTTATGCTACACTGAATATTTTTTTAAATATATTTTTATTGATTTTTTTTATAGAGAGAAAGAGAGAGGCATAGAGAGTTAGAAACATCGATGAGAGTAATCGATCAGCTGCCTCTTGCACACCCTTTATTGGGGATGTGCCCACAACCACGGTACATGCCCTTGCCCGGAATCGAAGCCGGGACCTTTCAGTCCACAGGCCATGCTACACTGAATATTTTTAATCTATGTGTTATATCATAGATCATGCTTTGGTATAACTTCCCTTTGATGAATTATTCTTTAAATGTATTAAGAGAATTACAACTACCATACAAAATGAAATACTGACACATACTACAAGATGAAAGGACCTTGAAAACACTATGTTAAGTGAAAGTAATCAGTTACAAAATGGGTTATATTTTGCCCTGGCTTGTGGGTCTCAGTTGATTTGGAGTGCCATTCTAAACACTAAAAGGTGGCAGGTTTAATTCCAGGTCATGGTGCATACCTAGGTTGCAGGTTCAATCCTCAGTCGGAGTGCATACAAGAAGCAACTGATCAATGTTTCTCTCTCATAACAATATTTTTCTTTCTGTGCATGTCTCTGTCTCTCTCTCTCTCTCTCTCTCATTCTTCCCTCCTCTCTCTAAAATCATTATTTTTAAAAGAGCACATATTTTGCCAAAACCAGTTTAGCTCAATGGATAGAGCGTCGGCTTGGGGACTGACGGGACCCGGATTCGATTCTGGTCAAGGGCATGTACCTTGGTTGCGGGCATATCCCCAGTAGGGGGTGTGCAAGAGGCAACTGATCGATGACTCTCTCATCAATGTTTCTAACTCTATCTCTCTCCCTTCCTCTGTACAAAATCAATAAAATATATTAAAAAAAAAAAAAAAAAAAAAGAAGAAGAGCACATATTTTATGGTACCATTTATATGTAATGTCCACTAGAGATTAATGGTTGCCTAGGCCTTAGAGGGGCCAAAAGAAAATGTTAATGGGGACAGCGTTTCTTTGAATGGTAATGAAAATTTCTAAAATAGACTGTGGTGATAGTTACACAGCTTTGTAAATGTACTAAAAAAAAACAAAAAAAAAAAAAACATTGAATGGCATATTTATTAAATGAGTGAATGATATGCAATAAATGTTCCCAAAAGTGAATTGCAAGATAAACGATCAAACACCTGGATGTCATGGTAACTGTCAAATTGCTTTAAAGTTTTTAAATGCTTACCCTCAATTTTAGAACTTCTCTATGAACAGGCAATAAACTGCCCAGAGGCCCGTATACCAGTCCATGACACACCTTGAGTAGCTCTAATCTACTCCATTCTCTTTCCTATAATGTTCCCCCAAGTGGGAACATTCTCTTTTTGGGATATTTAAGCCCAAACAAGAACTACTACATTTTTTTTTTTAAAAGGTGTTTGAGTGGAAGTTCTGGAATTAGACAAGCCTGTTAAAATTCCAGCTCTGCCACATCCTTTTTAGCTTCGTGGTTTTGTTCCCTTGGATCTCAATTTACTTCTGGGTAACATGGAGATGACTACAACTTATACCAGGTTTTAGGAGAATGAATGAGATATCCCAAACCGTTCAACTCGTCTCTGGCACACAGTACAGACTCGACAAATGTCATTCATCATAACCACCTCCTCCTCCCCCTATTTGTTTCCTCCTGGATCTTTGCGTCCAACCCCATTGTTACTCAAATCTTTCAGGCCCCGGGATTCTGGCACTGTTCCACTGCCCCAATACACAGCCACGTGTTTCTGCCTGCCTCACATTTCCTTTAGGGCACTACCTTTTACCTCCTTTGGTCGGCAAACTCATTAGTCAACTGGGCGGTAAACCACAGCTCAGGAGTTACAGGATGATCTACTCCAGGGACAGGCAGATAACCCTGTCCAGCCAATCACAGAATTCCATCTTCCTAGCTTCAGAGGAAGAGCCTATATGAGAGCACAGGCAATACAGAGGAAAATAGAACCTAGAGATGAAGAGAAATGGAGTTCTCCGATCTCACCTAAGACCCTGGATCCAGCTTGTCTTAGACCCTTACTACCTCTAAGGATTTCTCAGCCAGCTACTATCAGCCAAGAAATTCATTTGGCTGCCTGACTGACTTAGTTATCTTTCACTTGCAAATGGAAAATGTTTCTTGATTGAAAATTAACTCCTCACCGAAACCCAAACATGATTTCATCATGGCGGAGATGAGCATCATCATCAATAGACAGGATGGCTTCTGTCTCAATTTCATTCCAGGGCAAAAATCGATTATTCAAACTGTTCTTCTCAGTACGGACCACCTGTAAAAAGGAAGGAAAAACAGTTAATGGTCAATGCCACTTATATTATAGATGCAAAACCAAAACTGCCCTTAGGTCAAAGAAGACTGTGGCTAAATTTACTGAATAATTTTGCCTGGTTACCTTCTACTTGTATAATCTAGTATATGACTTTCAGGGATAAAAATTGCCTTATAATTAAGTAGTGGATGAGGCGTTCACATTTTAAGCCTTATTTGTTAACTAATTTCCTTGTGAAACAAGCTTAAGCTGAGGATTATTTTACACATGTGATTAAGCACATTCTAAGTAAAAAATTACTTTCCCAAGAGAACACAAGGTGGCAGAGACGAACTGAGATTTGATTCCCTGATCTGGAATCCCCGTTTTGTTCCAAAACTTTAAAACCAAACTCAGAAATCTCTTTAGTCTGTCATTTCTGACCAATTTTAAGGCCTTTTTTGGTATTTAAAAAAAAAGGATTGCCTATATCCTACTGAGGTGAATTACTTCACCTTTGCAATTTCTACCTGCAGCACTGACTACACACACAAAGCTTTTTCTTTCAAGATGTACCTAAATTTAGTAAAACTAACAGTTTCTGTGTACACAACAAATCCCAATTCAAGCAATCTCCATCCAGAGTGACTCATATGTGCAAAGCAGTATTTTCTTCATAAAACAAAGATTAGTGCCCAAATAGAACTATATTATAATTTTTTTTAATTGTATTTAAGCCCTATGTCAGAGAAGCATAGTTTATCACAATGTAAGTAGTAGCTTTCTTATTCACCTTGTCCCCTAATATGCAAATAAGGATGACTATTCTCAATCTTTGATAGCTCATTTATTTTTATGGTATCTATATCTAATTAATCCAACTAATGATTGGATTATATAATCCATCATATTCTTTTCAAAAACCAGGAACAAAGGGAGCTTCTTGAGAAGTGATCTTTTTAGAAAGCCAGGATGGGTCATCTTATTATCAACAGAATGTTTTACTTATACTGAGGAAAACTTCTACCTATCAATATGAATGTAATTATATTCAGGGTTTAAAGGTTTACAAATGATTTCAAAGGTATTTCCATAACCTCACGAGTATTGTTTTTTCAGCTTAAAATGTTCTTTCTCCTATTTTTCTACCAAAATTATTCTCTCCCTGGCGACCCAGCTCAGAGGGTTCCTGCCACTACCCTCCCCTTGTCAAAATTAATCACTTCTATATTTTTAAAACAAAGTCCTCACAGTTCAATTAATTCAATTAATGCATTCTCCCACACTCAGAATCCAATTAGTTGAGAGGTAGAAGGACCTCAGAGATCATCTGGCCCACCTCTCACTTTATACATGGACAATTAGCAAGTAGCAGAGTGAGACTCCAACTCCTACCTTCTAACTCCAAATTAGTATTTTTCTGCTGATCACATGTTTATAAATCTCGTTAAACCAAAGCCCCAAGGCAAATGCATTATTAATGTCTGTAGCATCAAGAAAGAAAAATGCTGCTAAATAAGAAAGCTCATGAAATAGTTTATATGTTTACTTTATTAAAGAGCTTTTTAAAATTGCCTCAACCCCAGATGAGTTTCTCTCAAGTCAAGACAAGGAAGGATCTGTAATAGATTTGCTACTACACAGAACAGATGTCAGAGCTAAGCAACAGACACAGAAATCCATCTTGCCCTGCAGCACATCTGACCAGTATAAAAACCCCTGAGCTTGTAGCCCAGAATCCCAGGCTCAGATACAGCAGTGGCAGAACAAAGGCACTGAAGCCTGAATCAGGAGAAAGAGGAGCGGGAGACAGCCAAGTACACAGTGCCATAGCTGCTGGGCTCTGTTCTGCGGGGAGTGGGAAGGTGGCCAGAAGTAGCAGAAGCCAAAAACCAAGCTTGGCAATGGTGAAACATCATCGATCTTAGGACACACCTGAGTTCAGAATGTTAAAATGTAAAATAATGTCTACCTTAGAGTCAATGGACTATGTACAGTAGTTGTTCACACAAACGCCCCCAACAAACTACCCTTGCTCGGATCATTCATTTTACTCACATGCCTACTATTCACTTAAATACAGAACTGGAATTCTGCAGATTCAGATGAACAAAGCTCCCCTCAACTCTAGCAGTGAATAAACACAGCTTAAAATCCAGTAGAGCATACACACAGCTTAAAATGAAGAGGGGGAAAAAAGATTGAAAAATCCAATTCTTTCTATGCCACTTTCTATTAACAATGTTGTGAGTTAATCACCAGGAGGATTGGCTACAGCAAAATTAGTAACCCTGGAACATCGCACAGAGCTTCAGTACTCAGGTGTGATTCACAGACCAGCAAGGCAGGCATCACCTGGCACTCTGTTAAAATACAGAACTTCAGGCCTATCCCCAAAACCTCCAAGTCAGAACCTACCCTCCAAGTCACATTTAATGTGACTCCTTTGCACATTAAATTTTGAAAGGCACTGGTACTGAGGCTTTTAAAAGCCTGGCTTTGGAGTTAATCAGAAAAGCTTGAGTTCATATCCAATTCCACTGCTTAATAGCTATGCAAACATTTAAGTAAGCAGCTTTTTGCTAAATCAACACAGCCCCATGTTGTATGCAAAAACTGAAGTTGTTTACCAGCCAAACTTGACAATCTTATAAACAACCTAATTCTTAATCTAAAAGCAAGAAACAACAAAAACCTAAAATGATTGTGATGTGCTACAAGAGTGAATCCAGTTTTTTGTCCAATTTACACGGTAAATCATACCAAGAGGACCTGTTTGTCCTTTGGAAGACTTACTAGGTCTAATACCAAAGTGTTTTGGCCTAGATTTCACATCCAGCTTGTTGAGCAAGCTTATTAAACTCCGTTAAGAACAACTGCTATGGGTTCCAGGAATGCATACAGTTCTTGTCCTGGCACAGCTTCTCTGGGCTAGATGACAGCAACTCTCAGGATTAGGAAGTGAAGCAACAGCCATCAAAACAACAACCAAAAAAAGCTTTAAGGATTCACAGAAACACAACATCAAGTACTGCAGCAGCTTACTTGTGGTTAGCTTACAAGTAACTGTGGTCAATACATCCACCTTAAGAATTCAAAGCAGTGGTTCTCGACTAGAAGTGATTTCTGCCTCAGACTAGATGTGTGACAAGATCTGTGGACATTTCTGTTTATCACAACTCTGGCAGTAGGGAGGTGAGCTACTTAAATTTGTAGGCAGAGGCCAGGAATGCTGCTAAATCCTACAAAGCACAGGGCAGCCCCACACAACAAAGAATTATACAGCCCAAAAGTCTCTGGTGCCACTGCTAAGACACTATAATTTATAGTCAACCACCAGGAAACAGTAAAGCAAACTTCCAAGAATAAAGGTAGCTCATTATTTAAGGACAGTCACCTTTCCCCCATAACAAAAAAGAGATTTCTAGCCTTAAAAACTGCAAATACAAACTGAAATTATTAGTAAGTGGGAGCAGGGGAGGGGGACCTTTTTTCTAACAATTTTACTTCAAAGCTATAGCATTTAAAGGCTAGAAAAAAAATCAGCAAACCATCATTATTATTATCTATTTTGGTATCAAAATCAGAAGGACAAAAAGACTCAAATATTTGTAATGCAAACATACAAATCAGCACTGATGGCTGATGGAGAATAGCCATCAGAATGTTAAAGAAATGAGTAATCCGAAAGGTAAGCCAAAGTATTATAGTTTATCATGTTTAGGAAATATTCTCATTTTTGTTAATGTTTTATTTCTACTTAAAATAGTGCTCCTCTTCCTTAACAATGCCTTATGATTACACCTTAGTAATGGGACCATGAAGACTTATCTTCAAGTTACTAATGTAACTACTGGTGTAACACTGACCAGAATGTATAGAACACAATGCCTGATGTTCTATAAGTGAGTGAATGAATGAATGAATGAATAGGAAGCAGTACCTAATTCAGCCCTGCACATTCTATTTTCAGAATGTGGAATAAAGAAGTTTATATATAAAAACCATAAACATTCAATATACTGACACCTCTTAGAATTGAGTCTAGTTTTCTATAGCAAAAAATCAATCAACCTACAACAATCAAATCAGGAGCAAGGCTCACTAACATTCATTTTTTTGTTTCATGTGTAATGCTCCCTGATGATGCTTCACTAGTTCTACTGTTTATCATTCATAAAGGCCATGATTTTCTCATTGTTCCTTTCTTCTCATTACAATGGATCAGTACAGCAATGATGGCCAAGAACCCTACCATATGCAAATGTATACAAGTATATGCAAGATCAAGAAATCAGTAACTTTAGTTAACATTCAACTTGGTTCATGAGGAATTCTGGAGTTTCTGAATAATAAAATAACTACCACTCTAACGGAGTCCTTTCTCCTCGTATGTTAACAAGGCATTTAGGTTCTAAATCCAAGCAAAATCAACAAATCTACATTAATTAGCAAAGTATCAATTCACATCAGAAATTAACTACCATGATAAATCTGATTCCCAATTAGCAAACATCTCTTAATACCTAAGGGATAAAAATATATCAAGAACAAATGAACATTTCAACAATTTAATGATAGTTGCTTAAGTGAAGCAGAATGAATTTGTATTCAAATGGAGGAACCACCTAAATGAAAGCAGCTCATCATTAGTCATAAGCAGGTCTAGATAGGCAAGAAAAATAGAGCATGAAAAGGTTAAGTGAATTAACCCTAGTCATAAAGTAGACCACAGACTGAAAACACAAAAATATAGAATATACCTGAGAAGCAAAAAATTAGAAAATGTATGTGAAAAATATAAAATACGAACACAAATGCCACCTACTAAATTCAGCAATTTAAATATACCTACAAAAGAAAATGAGGTCTAGGCAGAAGCACATCATCCATCACATGTGCTTACTTGTCAGGTATGTGAAGTAGAGTTTGAGGCGACTGGATGGAGAGGTGATACACAGAGAGAAAACTGGAAAAGGAGCATTAAAACTTCTCAATTTGCCGAAACCGGTTTGGCTCAG